GTGTGTGTGTGTGTGTTCAGATCTGTGCGATTCTGTCATGTGTGGATTCCTGGGGCCACCGGCGCTGTCAAGACACAGACCATTTCCATCCATAGAGTACCTCCTCCCCCTTCCCTGACCCCTGAGAGCCCCTATCCGCTCTCCCCCTCCACGGTTTGTCATTCCACAGTACTGTGTAAAAGGAGTCATGGGCCCTGTGTGATAGGCTGTCCTCACGCACCCTTGAGATCCACTGAGGTTGGATCAGTGAATCAAGATATAGAAATTCTGGAGGTGCCTGGGTGCCTGAGTTGGTGAAGCATCTGCCTTTGGCTCAGGTCATGATCTCAGGGTCATGGTATCAAGTCCCACATCAGGCTCCCTGCTCAGCAGAGAGCCTGCCTCTCCCTCTCCCTCTTCCCCCGGCTCATGTGCATGTGCACGCTCTCTATCTTTCTCTCTCTCTCAAATAAATACAATCTTAAAAAAAAAGATATAGAAATTCTAGGAATTCATTATAAAAACACAGTAAATCCAAAGTGTGTTTTTTATAATTGAAGGTAATAATAACAAAACACTGCAGCTAAAAATGTTTATTATTTACTCAAGAAAAAGCATGCTACAATTTAGTAGTCCATAGGATTTGGTAGCCAAGTTTGAAGGTAAGATGGAATTGAATTTATGAAGAAGGAGTGATTCATATTTTCAGAGTCTATAAATAATTTCAGTTTCATGTTCATGATATAAACTTGTTTGGGTGGAAATATTATATGACCACAACTAAATTCTCAATGATTTTTCATAAAAATTAATAGTCCCTCATGTGTCGTGGGGTAGAGTTTTAAGTATTTAATTTCAGGAACTTGTTTGGGGAAGGAACCAGAGATGAATGGAGGCATGTTGTTCACAAACTGTGTGGCAGGTTATTTGTCTGAAGTTTGAAATCCATAAAAGAATCACTTTTTGAGATCTTTTAGGGAAAATGGGAAACATTGACAAAGCTTCAGAAATTTCTATCTTGGTTCTGAAAAATACTAAAAAAGCATGCACTTCTGAAGTAGTGATTGAATTTGTTCTGTCCCCTGGAACAATAGAAGCTTAGCAATAAAATGTGTCATTAAAATGACAGATTAACTATGTTGCTAGGCATTACCATGATTAGGTAATCATTTATTTATTTTTGGGCGCCTGGGTGGCTCAGTCGTTAAGCATCTGCCTTCCGGCTCGGGTCATGATCCCGGGATCCTGGGATCGAGCCCTGCATCGGGCTCCCTGCTCAGCGGGAAGCCTGCTTCTCCCTCTCCCACTCCCCCTGCTTGTGTTCCCTCCCTCGCTGTGTCTCTCTCTGTCAAATAAATAAATAAAATCTTTAAAAAAATAAAATAAAAAAATAAAATTCTCCACGAATTAGATTGAGGTAGGTTATTTCCGTTGGGGAGTTTGCTTCCTAAGACTTTTCCATGAGCACAGCTTTTGTTTCCTGTTCGTTTACTGTGTTGTGCTGAATCTGGAAATGTTGCTGGTATCACAAAGAAATTCTAACATTAAACCATTTCCTACAAATGATCTTTATGTTTTCCTTTTTCAGAAGAAGCTAAATGACCGGTATTGGTTGCTAACTTTATTCCTGCATGCCCACACTGCTTGCCCTGGGATCTCCTGCACACGGCACCAGGCACCGCATTTGGTACCAGGTCAGTACGTCCCACACTTAGGGTCTCGGTTCAGCTGAGTGGATGTGGCTGGGGTTCCTCCGAAGTGCTGTGTTGGAGCCTGGCTGGGTTGGCCTCTGCTGGACAGACAGTGGTTGCTGGCCTAGTAAGGTGAATGGACTAGATTCTTTTTAGCAGTTTGATCAGGAAAATTGGAGAAAGTGGGTCTGGAAGGTCCAGAGGAAGAGAGATGATGGAGGATCCTGTCGCTACACATAAGCAGAAGGCTGGGAGGCAGAGCCATGAGGTTTTCAAATTTTAGCCCATTATAGAAAATTGAAAAAAATAGAGGAGCTGCTGCTCCTTCTGTTTCCCATCCCCCTCTGCCTCCCCAGCCCCATTCCCTGAAAGGACTTCAGCAACCCCAGGACTCGAGGACTCTGTCTCATACCAGATGTCTAAGGAAATAGTCCTTTTACATACTCTGCAGTCCTGATAGAGCTCAGAGTTAGAGGCATATGGGAGAAATCTTTAACTTGGGTGACTTCGCTCTGAAAAAGGCTGGTTTTAGACTACATTATTGTGCTTTGCCTTTGACCTTTCTATCCAAAAAATGACATAACATTTCTGAATTACTAAAGATTTTCGAGAGAATAAGAGTAATGTGATTTTTATATGACAGTGAATTAAAGGTACTGGAAATTTTTTTTTAACGATTTATTTATTTGAGAGAGAGCGTGTGTGTGGTGGGGGGAGGGACAGAGGGAGAGAGAGAATCTCAAGCAGACTCCCTGCTGAGTGTGGAGCTTGACACCGGGCTCAACCCCACCATCCATGAGATCATGACCCGACCTGAAACCAAGAGTTGGATGCTCTTGGTTTTGGCTGAACTGGACCTGACTGAACCACCCAGGCGCCCCTGAAAATATTGGAAGTTTTTTTTGTTTTTTGATTTTTTGAGTGGGCTTGATGGTGAACCCATTTGCCTTTTTATCCCGAATAACTTAAGACATTTATTAAATATTTTTGTTTGTTTTTTTTTTTTTTTTAAGATTTTATTTATTTTTTGACAGAGAGAGACATAGCAAGAGCAGGAACACAAGCAGGGGGAGTGGGAGAGGGAGAAGCAGGCTTCCCGCAGAGCAGGGAGCCC